TAAAAGGCCCTATATTAAAAATTCAATTTAAAATTTAATTAAAAATTGATATCCCAATTAAGTGAATAAAATGAATTTGTTTGACTCATAAAAGTCAATTTTACAACTCAATTTTTTAGTGATGGAGTAATTATATATAACACATGTAGTTAAAATAATAAACTTAAAAATACAAAAGTAAGTATAAAATGTAATGAAAAAAGTATCATAATAAAAGAAATCTAAATTAATAAGAATTGTAACTATAAGGAAATGAAGAAAGTAACTTACAAATGTATATACGGATTAGGATAGTATAGTAAAGTAATAATACAAATATACCGTAGTTAAAAAAGTATATACGTCGAGTAATACAATGAATTGGAAGTATTGTTAATTGATTTTACTAAAGATCATTTATATTTGTATAGCTAATGACCGAATTATCTAAATTAGTTAACTTGGTAAGCTGGTAAACCACTAACTCCTTCTCATATCCACCAGAATTCGATTCCTACATCTAGTGGATTTTTTTATTTGATTCAAAAGGGCTAATTAACTATTGGGCCTTCCGCCCAAATTGGGCCCTGTGCGAATTCACCTGCACAGCACCAGGGCCGGCCCTGATTCCATGTACTTAGGTGGAGAAGGATGGACCCATCCAAATCTGTTATTTCAATTAAATAATACTCCGTACGTAGTATATGCGAAGTATATGCCAGCCGAATGAATTTGCGTATGACGGTATGATTCTTCTCGATTCAGCACGGGAGGGTTAGACGATTGAGGGCTGGAGGGTTAGGCGAAGGCACTACACGAGGAAGAGCGTTCGTAGAAAGTGATTCATCACTTCCGAATTAAAGACACGTACAGAGGAGGAAAGTAGTAGCAGGCTAAGATCGAATGAGGAAAGCAAAAGCAATTGCCCGGTGATTGTTCATCCCTGAATTACCAAAAAATTTCAGGAAAAACCCGGTTGTACCCCTCCACATGGTACAACCGGGTGTATAATATATTTTACCGTCTTACCGCCTAATTAATTGTTGAGGTGGATTATTATACTAATTTAAAACAATAATAATAAATTAAATACTCCATTACTCCGTACATACGGCTACCCTGGCTTGTTTCTTACGCAGTATTTGAAAGCTATCAGTTATTCATCTTTGTATTTCAAAGGTGCCCATCGATATATACACATACATTACCTAGGGAGTGGTTCTAATGAGAACACTGCTTATTGTGAGAAGTGAGAACAAAGCTTAACCATACATCTTAGTAAATTAAAGGTCAAAAAGAGAGTAGATGCACGAATTTACTGTGGGAATGCAAACATTGAAAAATTAACCATGCACCCTATAAATGAACCGTATGTCTAGTAAAGGGCATTACAGTAATTCTAAAAAATGTCATTTAATATTGTAACGTATGAATCGGCACTCTCCTAAAAAGTAAGTAACACTAACGACTCAAATAATATAAAAATGTTTCAAATTTAAAATTGATTTAACTTTTTATATAATAATCCAATTTTATAAAAATTTATATCAAATTAAATACTTTTTTATTATCTTTCATTTGACACCAATATGTCATATATAATTTTTTTTTTCAAAAATAAGTATAATATATGTACAATAAATCATAACAAGCATCTCCAGCTACCGCACACACTAGAAAATGTATCAAACACACAACCATCAATATTTAATGTACATGAAAATTTGCATTTCTTACATAGTTTGTATATAAATTAAAGCACAATAAGAAGTATCTTAATCACAAAAATTAAATTTAACGCACAACAATTAGGAAATAATATCTAACCCACAAGTACTTTCATATAGTACACATGAACTAGTATCTGAAGTACAATATGTATATGTGTTAGAGAACTCGTATTTAGCACATAATGCGACCGTAGAATCACAAAAATTATGTCATGCACATCAACCAATATATAGCACACAACCACGGGTATATAATGCACATTGACCGGTATGTGACACACAAACATTTATGTTTTACACATGAACTTGTATGTAACTCACATTTGGTACATAACATAAAAACAAAAATATTGGTTGAAAAAAATGAATATGATATTGTGATTAACAATTAAGGAGAAACACGATTGAATGAATAATTGAATAAAAATGAATGATATTTTGATTCTGTAATTGGACAACCCGGCAAATTCACGTGAAAAATGAAGTAGAACATTTAATGTGATATGCAAGTTATTCTTTCCATTATCACTAAACAAGACCAACGTATACACTAAAAGATTAGTTACCAAAAACGGTCAAACACTGTGAGACGAAAATAACCTTTAATTTCATTTACTTGATCGTAGATTAAACCTTTTTTGGATGGCTTGGATTTGTCCTCACTTCTCACATTAAGAGCATCTCCAATGGTAAAATGTGCACGGTGCACACGTGGCATGAGAAATGACCACATAAATATTAGTAAATAAATTATTTCTCTCCTTATTTGAATGATTTTATACAGTTTCGGTAAGTTTTTCTCCACAATGTCAAGGAGACCGTCTAGATGTTGACATTGTTGTTGACATTGCAGGGAAAAACTTACCAAAATTGTATAAAATCATTCAAATAAGGAGAGAGATAATTTATATGCTAATATTTATGTGGCTATCACTCATGCCACATGTGCACCGTGCACATTATAGCATTGGAGATGCTCTAAGAGGTGTTCTCATTTGAACCAAAATCTACATACCTATATATGTATACATATATGTATATTTATTTAAAAACTACGTATATATTTATATATACTTCCTCCGTCTCTAAATAATTGTAACACTTTCCTTTTTGAGCAGTTTCAAATTAACTGCAACACTTCCCTTTTAGTAAACAAAAATAATTGCAATGTCTTTAATGCCCCTAGTTATTTTATAGGAAAGTACTTCATACCTACTTTTTCTATTTCTTCTCTCCCCACCCTTCACTTATCTTCTTCGATATGCAGCATCTCTCTGACTCTCCTTCTAATCTTTTTTTATTTTTTATCGTACTCTCTTTCTAATCTAAAGAGACCTAGTGTAGGACTAAAATTTCGCCGGGATGCTTGACTATGACGACGGTTGACCAGTTCGAAACGGGACCTAAAATTGAGCTCTTTTGTGGAGAAAATTCCGATGAGAAGAAGGCGGCGGCTGCGGCGGCCCTTTAATTTTCATAGAATTTCAGGGGAGGAGAAGCGTGAGAACATCTTGCCGGCAAGTTTCGCACTTTCGCCGTCCTGAAGACGACCCAGGATGCACAGAGGGACTTCCGTGAATCAATGGTGGAGATGATAGTGAAGAACAACATGAGGATGTCCAACGCTTTGGAAAATCTTCTTGCTTGCTTTTTGCTTATGAATTCCGATGAGAATGTTAGGTTGATGGAGCTGAAAAACAAAATCATTTGTAATGTTGATGCACAGTAACTTGTCTGCCACTTTTATTCATTTGTGCGTGGAACTAAAGGGTATAGTGGGAAGGAAAATACTTTACTCATGTTTCTTAATTCGTGTGCCCGCACCCCATGTTGCATCTATTTAGAGACAGAGGATACATATATTTGCCCAAATTCTTCTTCATCGAGGATATATACATGCCGGACTAGTTATATATACGTAGTATCAAATAGAGATTAGATAAACAAATAGACACATATACATGAAATCAATGTAATTTATAGGTTAGATTTGAAGAAAAAACTCTAAAATAGGTTGCTAGGAGAGAGACAGAGGTAATATGCATTTTTAATTCCTCCCCATTTTTGTCCAGTGCTCTACTTTCCTTGTATCGGCACATTGTTTTTAATGCAAATGGTGAGTCAGCAAGTCCTTCGGCCTTTCTACACTCGGGAGGTCATGTGAACAGAGTGCAATTAATTTTTTGCCAACTCAGCAATAGACTAGATGCATTGGAGAGATTTTAAGGTATAAAATGTCAAATTTAATGAGGTGTCATGTTTTAGGAAAAGTTCCTGAAATAAGACTAAAACAGTTTGAAAATTCCACAATAGGACTAACATGTTTTTTATTTAATTACTGTCAAGTTTGGAAAATACTGCCATGTTTGAAGTCTGGTACTGCCAAAACATGGCAGTAATTAGTCCTGTTTGGGAAATAAAATCATGACAGTCCTATTTTGGAATTTTCAAACCTTTTTAATCTTATTTCGGGTAATATCTCCATGTGGTTGCTCTTATAAGTTTATAAGAACATCGTCAATGTTATCATGCGCACAGTGCACATGTGGCATGAGAGGGATAAACACAAAAAATTAAATTTATGTGATTTTGGTAAGTTTTTTTTTTTTACCCCAGGGGCATCGGGGGAGGGGTTTGGGGGACCTGGGGTAAACTGGGATCAATCTCACTTCATTGAGAATTGAACGCGGAACCTCCCACTAGGGAGAGTGAGTCGGCAACCAACTGGGCTGGACCGCTTCCTCTATGATTTTAGTAAGTTTTTCTCAAAAATGTCTATCACAATGTCTACATTTAGACACTGTGTTTGACATTGTGAAGAAAACCTTACCAAAAACACATAAGATCGTTCGAACAAGGAAAGACATATTCTATTTATTGTTTTTTAATTGGCTCTCTCATGCCACGTATGCTCCGTTCACGTTTTTTGCATTGGAGATGTTGTAGGTGTTAACTACCCAATCGAGTATTTTGTAAATAATCACAACTTTGATGACAAATGTTAGATGATCTACTCCTCCTTGTTGCTTTAATCATGCGTGTTCTATCTCTGATCTTCTTCACATTTTCCTCTTTTCTCTTTTTATATCAACATTTTTTATATTTAAAAATATTTATATGTTAGATATGACAAATTTAAGAGCTCTTTACAAATAAAAGATCTTTTTGAGATGGTACAATGAGTAGGGGATGACAAAAGTGTGTATCTTTTAAAATTATTTGGTCTTAACAGTTTGTATATCAAACAGAACTAGATCAAACAGTCTTCTTTTTACCAAACAGCTACCACATTTTCCTTTTAAGAATTTCTCAGTCACTAAAAGCTAATAGCTAATCAGTCTGGAGTTTCAAACCAAGAGGAGGGCAGTTTTGGAGAAGCTAATGTGGGGCTGCTGGGCTCTCTGGTGCAAGCGAAATCATCAAGTCTGGAATGGAGTAAAGTCCACAACCCAACAGGTCATTCACCGAGCACAAGCCTTTGTTGACAGTTGGACTAGCGTAAGCAAGACAAAGAGGAATGGAGCGAGTCTTCGGCTGGAGCTAAGTGGTGCAGACCGGCAGCTGGCAGAATGAAACTCAATGTCGATGCAGCGGTGCAACAGAATATTTGTGGGCTTGGCTGGTGTGTACGAGATGAAGAAGGAATGTTCATTGCGGTGGCAGCTTGTCCGTGGCCGGGAAGATTATCACCGCTAAACGCTGAACTCGTCAGAATCCGAGAGGCTCTTAACTGGCTTAAAGAGAATGGTTGGACTGAGATGGAGGTCGAGACTTATGCGGCGCGAGCGGTTTCTGAGATTTTACATGGATCGAGTTGCTCTTTGGTTGGCTTACTGGGTGAACACATAAGAGATTTGACGAAATTTTTTTCGAGCATTTCTTTTAGTCATATTAGGCAATGAGCGAACAAGACAGCCCATACTCTTGGGAGAGCTTCTTGTTCTGTGCCTGATTTGCGGTCTTGGTTTTATACTTTTCCTTTTATTGTATCCATTTTAGACAATGATTTGATTAATATCAATTAAATTTCCTTCTTGCAAAAAAATCTAATAGCTAATAAAAATATCATAAAATAATATCTTTTCAGCTAGTTATGCCAAACATACCTTACATCTAAAGTTAATGCTTTTGAATTTCAAAATAAACCAAATTAGGTGACAACTTGATTAAATATATTTCTCCCTCTTTCAGTTGAAATAAACCTGATTTTTTAAATTAAGTCCTGAATATTTGGTGCCAATTAAGTGTTTGAAAATTGTTCAAAGTGAAATGTTCATTCTTTTCATGATGAATTGTATTGTTCTTTGATGCGCTTATTTAACATGTTAACATATGTATGATTTTTATTTTGTATAAGTTATGTTGTTTAGAATATATTTTACTAATCTTTTTCTAGTTATGCACTTTTTAACAAATTTAGAATTTTTTTAAGTTGGATATTTAAACATTATGTAATATTGTTAAGTTATAGGGAATGTGTATTGATATAATTTTCTAAAATGACTAATATTACATGAAAACTATTGGAATGAATTTTGTGTTACATGAAAATGTGTATAATGCTTTAAGTGAATCCACACTTGTGTAATTAGTAAAATAAAAGAAGGAATTATAAACCTTACTTATATAACATGTGCATCGATATAACATTGTAAATCAGTGCAATAGAAATATAAAAAATATGTAAAATATTACCTATGAACTTTGAAAGGAAAAAATATGATCATTTTACACCTAGAAAAAAATGTGACCTCTTTAGGAAGGAAAAGCCCAGCCCTTAGATCTTCTCTACGTTGAACTCACCGTCATCGCCCAAGCATCATCGAACTCGTTGAAATTTGTAGCGTGCAACCTCCTCCGAACAGACGCAGAATCATCAACTCCTCCTCCGAGCAGCAGATATTTCGTCGCCGCATTCGCTCCCGTGGCTGTTGCCTCCTCCGCTCCCCTGGCCGTCACCTCCTTTGCTTCCTTGGCCGTCTCTGTTGCCATCGCCATCGTCCTTGCCCCCACACCAATAACAGAGCAGACGCATCAGTGGTCTTCACCGTCATCGTCGCCCTACCCGCTTCTTTTTTTTTTCTTTCCGTCTGGCGCCGCCCGCAAAGACGATGCTTCAACGAATGGTGAGTGGAGGGGCGGGGATTGTGGTCAAGGTCAGATCTAAATATGGAGTGTGGTATGGTTGGTGTGGCCGTGGGAGGGGTGTGGGGTCGTGGTGGGCATCAATGGGAGCTAGTTTGGAAATGACAGTGCTGGAGGTCTGCGGGATGAGGTTCGACCAGCGGCCGGCGGCGTCACCCGCCGGAGGTGACGGTGTGTGGGGTGGGACATCGACGATGATGTGGGGATGGGGGAGTGATGGCGCAGGATGGTCACTGTGTTGGAGAAAATTGGCCGGATAAACCTGCAAAAGGGACTTAGAAAATAATATAGCTCGAGACGCGTTAGACGCTGTCCTCAAGAAAGTATTTCCGACTAGCGAAAACCTTTCCCCAAGATATAACGAGCTCTTCGGCGTAAACCGGTAACAGAACAACGAGAATGAAAATAATATAAATCCAGCAGAGTGAAAATAGTAGGGAATGTTTAGCTCAAATTAATCTTTTTCATGGCAACTCCCAGCATAATCGAACACATCTATATATATATATATATATATATATATATATATACATAAAAGTAGAACGTTGCTGCATGCTCTATCAGGTGAAACGTTGAGTACTAAGTACTAACGTTCATATCATAAATATAATCAATGTTGTGATCAAAGTTGAAAAATCTTCTAACTCCCACTAGTTCTTAAAACCGTTAGGAGTAATTATTATTTAATAATATTAATTCTAAGTCTTGCTAGTAACGTGCATGGCTTAGGAGCAGCAATTAAAATGTTTTTAAAATAATAACAACAAGTTTTATTTATTTATTTTTCATTTGAAATACTTCTAATTTTCCAACAATCCCCCACATATTTCAAATGAATATTTTTAGATGTTAAAAATAGTTTAGAAAATTTCTGCTGGATTAAAGGAATGAGACTTTAAATCTGGTGTCCGTAGACTTGAACCAAACCGAGACGATTAAGTCTTAATAAACCGAGCTTTTGGTGAAACGTATAGTTTATTGAACCAACAAGCTACTATTGGTAAATCAGGGTCTTAACGGTCGTGTCTCACCCCGCACAATTTCTCATTATTACGCCGTTGTGCGCCGTAAGGCCATGCGCGTGCTTGGTTTTCATGAGTGCTCTAGAAGTTTTGTCATGCTTCATGGAGGCGGCCCCACCTCACACTCATATAGGTGATATCATCAAGTGTGTACCGCTTTTGCACACCACCCTAAAATTAAGGACTATGATAATCATTAAGAGCTTTTAGCTCACCCTCTCAAAGAATGCGGTTTCTAGCCTATATCTCACATCATGGAAATGGGAAATTTTAGTTAGGCTAGCAGAACTAAATGGAAGACTTGTTATTACCCATTTGAACTTGCTTCATGGGATCTCCAATCACACAAGTTGGGTTCCCATCCCCATTCGTTTCAAATGACACTAGTCCCATTTCCTTCGATGTTTCGGTTATCATTTTTCGTCCTAGGGATTCTGTCAAAGGAGTAGCTAATTCCTTCACAAAAATAATGAAATAATTCCATTCTCAAACATCATTGCACCACTTTTAAGGGTGAATGGATATCCACTATTTTAATTTATCTCATGTGAGTATACTCAAATGTCATCGTTGTATCCCGGCAATACAACGGATAATTCTCAATAAGAATCAACATCGATGTGACCCTCTTGTACATCGGATAAATCTTAATAATGTATATATGTCATCATTGTACCATTATAGTACAATTGACAATTCTCATATAAAACACATCATCGTTGTATCAATAGTTTACAACGGATAATCCCAATAAAAAATACCACAATTAATGGTACCTCTCATATATCTCAATAACCGCCTCAACGCAGACCAGTGATCCCCACTTGGGTTATTAGTATATCGGCTCAATCTTCCGACAACATAAGCTATGTCGGGTCTCGTATTATTCATCAAGTGTAATAAACATCCAATAAATTGGGAATAGTCAAATTGAGTCTCGGAATCATCTCTATGTTTTTTTTTAAAGCATATGAGAGTCATAAGGGATACTCACGGGGTGACATTGAAATGTCCAAATCTCTTTAGAAGTTTTCAGCATAATGCTCTTGAGATAGTATAATACCATCATCCTTCCTTATGACTTTCATACCCAAAATCAATGTCATCCACATATAAGCAAATAATAATGCACACACCTTTTCACATTTAATGCATACACACTTATTTACTTCTAGTGAGGTAAAATCATAAATAAATAACACTTCATCAAATTTTTCATTCCATTGTTTTGGAGCTTGTTTCAACCCATAAAAGAATTTAATCAAATTACACAATTTGTGTTTCTGACTAGTAACCACATGACCCTCCGGTTGCACCATATAAATTTCTTCCTCTAGCTCTTCATTTAAAAACACAATTTTAACACCTACTTGATGAAAAAAATTGTGAATAGAGTCAATTTCACTTTAAATGGCCCCAAGAAATAATGTTTTTTTTTTAAAGAAATAGTTTCTAAATAAGTCAACAATTCATCATTAGTAAGATATGTATGAAAATCATTTCCAAAAGATTTCTCTATCTTTGACTTCTTACTTCTTCTCAAAAGAGAAGGTTCATCATTCAAAGAATCATTGTCTTTTAATGGATCACTATCACTAGAGGGTTCATCACTAAAGGTTTCATTTTCTTGTAATGGATTATACTCACTATATGGTGCAACGGTCTTGTGTTCAAATTTCAAAGGAAACACATTTTTCAAAAAATTAAGCATTATTGTTTCAACAATGTATAAACAAATAATCATACATGCATCATTTAGTGTGTACACATTCTCCAAAATGATCACATTAATATCAGCAAAATATAGCTTGCACACTAGCACACTATTTCTTCAATTTATGAAAATAACATATGTGCTCCACTGTTCCAGTTTATGCAAAACTAGCGAAGAGTTATAAAGCTCAGTTTACTCAATGAGATAGGTAATAAAAATATAGCTAAGCACCCCCACAATTTTAAATATTTGAGAACCAGGTGCATAGCCCTTCTAGAATTCATAGAGAAATAGGTTACATCTCAACCTTTATATGTACACAATGATTTAATAGAAAGAAACTCGCCTTTTAAATTTAAGTACGATAAATTTAGTTTATCTCGAAAAAACACCAATAAATGTGATAAAAACTTTTACCACCTCTAAGCACAGTGTAGTTGCTCTAATAAAGTTTATAAAAAATTCATAAAAAAATATATCACAATTTTCTAGAGGTGCTCCCATATCACTAAATATCAATCTTATGATATTTAGGAATTTCATAAATCAAATAAAAACAAAGATCAACTTAAAATGCCACGTAAAAGTCAAATTTATAATATCACATTACACGATAATTAGCCAACTGTAATTACGTATATCATTATCATGCAACACTTCAAAATTACTGAGCAAAAAAAAAAAATTCTGTTCTTACAATAGTCATTTTCCACAAAAATATCATTTTTGGTCATAACAAATTTGTCACAACCAAAAGAAACTTTAACCCCAACTTTTTTCAAGAGAGAAATGGAAACTAAATTAGTCCGATCTCGGGTGCATGAAACATATCATTTAGTGATAAAGTTTTCCTCGATGTGAGCTTAAGAAGAACTTTCCCTTTTCCATGTACCTTAGCGGTTTTTGACTCCGCTAGATACACGAGCTCTTCACCATCTCCTATAATAGTATAGGAGGTAAAAGCATTTTGTTTTCTTTTACAAATATGCTTGGTAGCCTCGGAGTCTACCGCCCACTCATTCACATCATTAGTTTTACAACTTTGAGAAACAACCGCAATAAAATTATCATCACTACAAACCAAGTTTGAACTTGATTTTAGTGGGTTGTTGTTTTTCATGGTTGTCATTTTATCACTAAATAAACGAATAACATTT